TACTCGGAAGGCTGAGGCGGAAAGGATCGCCGGAGCCCAGCAGGTCGAGGCTGCGGTGGCCGGGAGCGGCCACTGCCCTCCAGTCTGGGCGACAGAGTGAGACTCCGACTCAAAAAAAAAAAAAGCAAAGAAAAGGCAAGGTCGTCCAGGCCCGGGCCAGGCTTTGCTCTCTGCCGAGAACCTAACTCCTATTCCCCCGGGAAAACACTGATTGCTCTTTCAAGAATCGTCTGAATCTTCGTCTGGGTGCATTTCTGACCCCCATGTCCTCCTTCCCTAATGCCCCCCCACCCAGGACCTTGAGACTTTTTATGGCAATAGTTACCTCACCTCACCCAAATCTCAGATCGACCCCCCCAGGCCAGTCCCCCAGGCTCCCCCATCCCAGGCCCCATCCCTCTGCCTGCTCCTCCCCCCCATCGGCCAGTCTGGGGTATCACTGTCTAGTGACAGGTCAGTCCCCTGCCCTCCTACTACCTAGGAAGGGTCTGTCCTGGCCGTCACACAACAGAAGACTGAGCACCAAGTCGGGATGTGTCTGTCTCACACACAGGGGTGGGTGGGGGGCGGGGACAGGATCTGGAGAGCTGACCGTGGTCAGGCGCCGCAGAGAGCTGAACCTCTCTTCCCAGGCTGCAGCCGCTTTGCGGAAGGCCTCGTGTCGCCGGATGAGCTGCTCCACCTCGTCCACGCTGCTGCCCAGCTCCCGGCTCTGCAGGATTGGCTCCTGGGCTGTCAGCCAGGCATCGGCCACCACCGCCTCCTGGGCAAACTGGTGCACCTCCAGCACTGAGGGGAGGCACACCAGGTCAGGGCACTGAGGGCCCTTCCTGGGGCAGGAGCTGCTCTCTCTGGCATGCCATAGCCCTCTGGCTTCCCTTAGCCCAGCCCTGCCCACCCTGAGCTCTGCAGGAGTGATAGAGGCTGTGGCAATTTTCGGTTTTTTAGTCAGGGTCTTACTCTGTTGTCCAGAGACACAATCATGGCTCACCGAAGCCTCAACCTCCTGGCATACTACAGGCATGTGCCACCACACCTAATTTTTAAAACTTTTTTTTTTTGAGTTCGAGTCTTACTCGGTCGCCCAGACTGGAGTGCAGTGGCCACTCCCGGCCACCGCAGCCTCG